ATCTACAAATCTACTCTAAAACCTTAGAGATTGAAATACTATTCATTACAGATGTGTTTATTCATAGCTGCAATAACCTGCAGAAAACATCACTAAACATAAAATAAACACTGTATAGTTAGCATGTAAGGAGTGGTATGTTGGCTTAGTGGTTAGCACTGCTGTCTCAGAGAACCAGGGATCCAGGTTCGATCCCAGCCTTGGGCAACTATCTGTGTAGAGTTTGCACATTCTCTCTGTGTCTGCATCGGTTTCCTCCGGATGCTCTGGTTTCCTCCCACAATAGAAAGACATGCAGGTCAGGGGATGTGCCAGCTACATGGGTTAGCCATGAGAAATGCAGGGTTAAAAGGGATAGGGTAGAGGGATGGGTCTGGGTGGGATGCTCTTTGGATGGTTGGGCTGAATGGCCTATTTCCACACTATAGGGATTCTATGAGCTCGCAGCAGAAAACAACCTTAAGCTATTATTAAATTAAAATGTTGTACATTCCTAAATACCTGCATTCATAAATAAAATAACCTTTGGGGTGGCACAGTGGTTAGCACTGCTGCCTCACAGCGCCAGGGACCCAAGTTCGATTCCAGCCTCGGGCAACTGTCTCTGTGGAGTTTGCACATTCTCCCCGTGTCTGCATGGGTTTCCTCTGGGTGCTCCAGTTTCCTCCCACAGTCCAAAGATATGCAGGTTAGGTGGACTGGCCATGCTAAATTGTCCATAGGACCCAGGGATGTTTAGGTTAGGTGGGTTAGACACGGGAAATTAGGGGAATGGGTCTGGGTGGGATGCTCTTCAGAGGACGGTGTGGATTTGTTGGGCTGAACGGCCTGTTTCCACACTGTAGGGGTTCTATGGTTCTTAAGAAACATAGAAGAAATGAACACAGGTATAGTAAATATAACACCCATGAAAACTTAAACTCAGCTGATGACCAGGCTCCATCTAATGGCAGAAACAGTAAGGTGGAGGGTGGTACCTCATTTTATTCTCACGCGTACTCAAATACAGTGAAGTGTATAATATCGCCATTCTCAGTGCCTTCTTAGGTACAAAGGTACCTAGGTACAAAACCTTTTGCACAAAGTAGAAAGATAAAGAAACAAAGTGCACATTTAAAATGGAAATCGGGACAATAACACACACTGGAAATTTAAAAGACAAGAAGAGAATTTGGGAACAAGAGCTGGCAAGATGAGAGGGGAATGAAAAGGGATTGAGGGCAGGGGATGCAACAGGAGGAAGGCTGGAGGGCTCTGAGTATGGGACTAGAAACAACATCGTGAAGTCACGCAGTCATGTGAACAATGCTAAACTGAAACTTAAATTGTTAAATAGAGTGATAGAGATATACAGCATGGAAACAGACCCTTTGGTCCAACTCATCCATGCCAACCAGATATCCTAAATAAATCTAATCCCATTCGCTGGCATTTAGCCCACATCCCTGTAAACCCTTCCTATTCATATAAGCATCCAGATGCCTTTTCAATGTTGTGATTGTACCAGCGTCCACGACTTCCTCTGGCAGCTCATTCCATATTTGCACCACCCTCTATGTGAAAAAGTTGCCCCTTAGGTCCCTTTTAAATCTTTCCCCCCTCACCTTAAACCTGTGCCCCCTAGTTTATGACATGCCTACCCCAGGAAAAAGACCTTGTCTATTTACCCTATCCATGCCCCTCATGATTTTGTAAACCTCTACAAAGTCACCCCTCAGCCTCTGACGCTCCAGGGAAAACAGCCCCAGTCTATTCAGCCTCTCCTAGTAGCTCAAACCCTCCAACCCTGGCAGCATCCTTGTAAATCTTTCCTGAACCATTTCAAGTTTCACAACATCCTTTATATAGCAGGGAGACCATAACTGCTTGCAGTATTTCAATAGTGGCCTAACCAATGTCCTGTACAACTGCAATATGACCTCCCAACTCCTATTAACAATGCACTCACCAATAAAAAGCAAGCATACCAAATGCCTTCTTCACTATCCTATCAACCTGCAAATCCACTTTCAGGAACTATGAACTGGCACTCCAAGGTCTCTTTGTTCAGCAACACTCCCCAGGACTTTACCATTAAATGTACAAATCCTGCTCTGATTTGCCTTTTCAAAGTGCAGCACCTCACATTTATCTAAATTAAACTACATCTGCCACTCCTCAGCCCAGTGGCCCTTCTGACCAAGGCCCCGTTGTACTCTGAGGTAACATTCTTTGCTGTCCACTAACCCGTTGTCCCCTGAAAACTTACTGACCATACTTCCTATGTTCGCATCCAAATCATTTATATAAATGACGAAAAGCAGCAGATCCAGCATTGATCCTTGTGGCATACCGCCGGTCACAGGCATCCCAGTCTGAATAGCAACCCATCGCCACCACCCTCTCTGTCTTCCACCTTCGAGCCAGTTCTGTATCCAATAGCTAGTTCTCCCTCTATTCTGTGTGATTTAACCTTGCTAACCAGTCTTCCATGAAGAACCTTATCAAACGCCTTAGTGAAGTCCAGAGACATCACATCCACTGCTCTGCCTTCATCCATCCTCTTCATTACTTCTTCAAAAATCGCAATCAAGTTTGACAGACACTATTTCCCATGCACAAAGTCATATTGACTAGTCTTAATCAGTCCTTGTCTTTCCAAATACATGTAAATCCTGTCCCTCAGGATCCACTCCAACAACTTGCCCACCACCGATGTCAGGCTCACCAGTCTATAGTTCCTTGGCTTTTCCTTACCACCTTTCTGAAATAGTGGCACCATGTTAGCCAACCTCTAATCTTCTAGCACCTCACCTGTTGCTATTGATGATATAAATATCTCCACAAGGGGCCAACAATCACTTCCCTAGCTTTCCATAGAGTTCTAGGGTACACCTGATCAGGTCCCAGGGATTTATCCACCTTTATGTGTTTTAAGATGTTCAGCATCTCCTCAGTAAGAGGATATTCTTAAAAATATCACTATTTTTTCCCCATGTTCTCTATCTTCCATATCCTGCTCCACAGTAAACACCAATGCAAAATACTCGTTTAGTATCTCCTTCCATCTCCTGCGGTTCTACAAATAGGCGGCCTTGCTCATCTTTAAGGGTCCCTATTCTCTGTCTATTATGCTTTTGTCCTTAATGTATTTGTAGAATCCCTTTGGATTCTCCTTCACCCTACTTGCCAAAGCCACATGTCTCCTTTTTGCCCTCCTGATTTTCCTCTTAATTATATTCCTACCGTCTTTATACTCTTCTAAGGAATCATTCGATTTCTGCTGTCTATACCTGACATGGTCAAAAATCACACGACACCAGGTTATAGTCCAACAGGTTTATTTGAAGACACAAGCTTTCAGAGGCTCACTCCTTCTTCTGGTGTCAGTGGCTTACCTGACATACTCTTCCTTCTTATTCTTGACTAAAACCTCAATTTCTCTTGTCGTTCAGCATTCCCTCCACCTTCCAGCCTTGCCCTTCACCCTAACGGGAACATACTGCTTCTGGACTCTCATTATCTCATTTTTGATGGCTTCCATCAGAAACAAAGCAGATAATGAGGTAGAACTGAAAAATTAAACCGCATTTATTTCAATGTAAGAGGCCTAACAGGTAAGGCAGATGAACTCCTCCTTTTTAAAGTGCCATTGTTTTGATTCTTTTCCCCCAAAGTTCCAAAACAACGCAACAACTTATAAAACAGTAATTTCTGCTCCTAGAATTTGAGGAAATCAACTCTACACTGGAAATACCTCAAAAAGGAGTAGCTCTTACAACCACGATTTTTTCCTGTCCAAATTGTTACTATATTGTTAACCATGCTAAATCAATACAACATTAACCCAGTCAACTTTAAAAATGGCCTTAACTGCAGTGAAATAATCAACGAAGCTCTGTGATGTACACGGAGGTCCCCTAATTAGAGTATATTCTATTCTCTTACTATGCTTGGTGCTTCTTGCATGTGTTCAAATGGAGGAGTACTGATTCTTCAGCCATAAGAGGTAATTAATAATCAATTTTTTTTGTCTTTGTTTTCCCTTGATTACCTTGATGCCACAGGATTACAAGGAGTCAGAGTCACTGTTGAGAACTTCCCGAGCAATTAATTCCTGAATGTATATTCCTGTACCACCCCTGCAACTGGTTGGTCTGTGTTGAATCACATTTAATAGCAGGTGTTTAGCTTTGGGTATTACAAGCGTAGACCGGATAAGTACAGACTGTACTCTGCCTATTATGAAGTAACATAGGAGCTATGTGAACGATACCGCTCAGTAAATGGATGTCACCGTCAGTCCAAAGAGATGTTCTGCCTACCACGTAATTAAGCAATGTAATGTATGTATTTTAAGGGGGGTGTTTTGCTAGGAATATGGGTCATATTTTCCACTGATTGGTTGATCAAACCAAACTGCATGTTGTTTGTAATAGGCAGAATATAGACTGTAACAACCAGTCTACGCTTGCAAAATCCAAAACAAAGTGGTTACTGTTTAATGGGATTTGCAATTGAGTAGCACTTGCTGAACAATTCAAATGCGTTAACAATTACACCAACCACCAACCATTTAAAATAATCAATCTAGCTCATAACATGGCTCATTTACACTTGCTAGAACCACATACATTCACATGCACGTACCCATTCACTGAAAAGAAAAGGAATATGTTCAAGATCTGTGCCTTTCTGAACTACCCTGGAGCTTAGGGAGCCTATAGTTTCCCTTTTCTTCTCCAAGGTAATGATGCAGCTAATCAGAAACAACTTGTCAATCAGTCAATCAACACTCCTTTCTCCTGCTGAATAATTTGGCACTACTGTGTTTTTTGTGATGAGTACAAGATGAAAACCTTCAGCAATGTGTCTCTCTTTTCAGCAACTTACGTGAACTATTGATTACTAACTTGAAGAACAGAGTTTTTTAGTGTTGTCATTATGTAGCCTTACCTTATTCTCAAACACATTTCTGAAAACATTTTCAATGAAATTCACAACAAAAGGCCTCCACTTACTTGTAAGGTTTTTGTGGAAGGATACTGATTCTAGTTTTGCCCAATATTTTCTTCAGTTTATTTCGTCCAGTCACTGTGTTTGCCTTTGCTTTCTTACTTGCTTTATCTAATCCAATCACTTGTTCAACATCCACTGCCAGGTCAGGAATGGAATAACGGCTTCCCTTCTTGTCACCAATTTTTGGTAAGTGTGGAGCACCATTTCTCTTCTCTTCTGTGAGCCTAGACAGAAGTTCTTTAAACACTGTTGGAGAAGTATAAAATTTAGTCAGAGGTTTTCTGATTGCTAGTCAATCTTTGACTTTTTGAAAAACGAGCTACTACTATAACATTCACTAATTATTCTCAATAATGTTGCATTCTAATTGGGGTCAGAGAAAATGTGAATGGGGCCACAAGTTCCCCTTCCGCTGATGTTACAACCTGCCCTGACACTGATATGCAGGCAGTATACAGACTTCTTCTCAGCTGGAATTATACAATGCTTTATTAGTGCTGTCCATTTCCCTACCCGCAAAGCATACAAAATGTGCAGAAGAAGTCTTAACTAATCATTGTACCTTGCGACTTATTTCATAGTCTGATACGGTGTCCTCCAATCTCCTGGAATGAAGTCTAACATAAACTGTCTATGCCAAGATAGCAGGCAACTTGCAGTCTGATTGAGCATTTGAATTTTTCTGTGGAATTTCATCAATTTAACTCTGTTGCTGAAAGGGATCTCAGCACTATTATTAATAACCAAGGTTCATGCTTTCACACATTTCTAATCTTGTCATTAGCAAATTCCCCTCCATTATCAATCAGAAACTGGTGTCACAGGTTTGGTCCCTATCAATTTATCTACTATTTTGCATATAATAATCTTTTTTTCTTTACTATTTCTGTCCTTGTCCATCCTTTCAACTGCTAATGTCATGTGCCAATAGAAAACTTACAGCATGAACCTGACAGCATCCTCTGATACTTCTTGTAGGCTTCACACTTCAAATCCCTGAAGCCAAGTAATAACCTTATTTGCTGAATTTAAAGTTTCCTACTTAACACATGGAAAGAACACCTTTCCGTAACGTATAGCTTTGTATGTGTCTCTCCATAGGTGCATAAGGGGTTTGGGCTGAGGCCAGGTGGTAAAGAAGGTCAGCTGCGCAGGGATCCAACTTTCACCTACAGGCATTCATGCTTTGCTCTCATGTTATATTCAAGAAAGCCATTTGTTAAGGATTGAACTGAAGCCGATCCATACCAACTTTTGTAAGGACTTATTCATAGAGTTATATAGCATAAACGTAAAGCTATGATTTTTGGTTTTGAAGGTGCAAATCTCTAATAAATTCCCAATGCCCATTCCTGCTGCATCCAAATAAACATAATTAATATACAAATAATGAGGTAGCTCACCACCATCTTCCTTCTCAAGTGCAGTTAAAGATAGACAACACAGATTAGTCTTTCCAGCATCACCTACTTCTCTAGCACGCATTGAAAAGTTAACCAAAACATCAACAGTGATGAATAGTTTTGTGGTGCAGACTTAGGGAAAGACTCAAACTCAAAACTGCTCAACAATCTTGAAGTCATTTGTTATCAATGAATCACAAACACACCAAGTGAAGTGGAGTTGCTCAGAGCCTTTTAGATGCAGCACATATTACTATAAAAGCTTCGGTTTGACAGCAGAAATGATACATGAGGAGTTGATAAATATTTAAAATATTTAACAGCCCAGATACAAGAAATAAATATTGGACCAAAAAAAAACTCAATCTGAACACCTTATAGAACAAAACTACAGAAAGTAAGGAAACAAGTTATCCATTCAGCCAGGGACAGTACATTTTAGAGACATCAAGAAAATAACTTTTTATTCACATTATCTGGTATAGCCCAGAATGTCACTTAATTATTTCAGTCACCCACATTTTTTTTTATGGTCCTGAGAAGTACATCTAGTATGAAAACATATGTAAAACAAACAAATCACATAAATTGTATCTACGAAATTATCACTGTATAAAAGACCTACCAAACAAGTTTGTTTTCACAGTGATAGACAAATGAGTATTGTTCCTAAGAATTTCCAATGCTTTGGGCAGCTGAATATTCTCGAAGTTTTGTCCATTGACTTCCATTATCTGAAAAACAGGATAGCTTTTTTGTCTCATTCATGCAAAATGTGCATTAAAAATCAAAACTATGCCATACATGTTCACAGTAAATGACCTGTGCTCTATTTTATATTTTGCCACTGTTATTGGTCAGTGAGAAAATCCCAAAAGCTAATTTAATCCTTAAAGAGGGCAAGTCATACCTAACCATTTAGTATCATAAAGAATGTCACTAATGAAGCTTAATCTTACTTCATGAGAACAAAATTTGCCTAGTTGCTTACGGAAAACAGGGAATCAATATAGCTGAATACCTGACATATGTTTCAATTCACATTTTTCAGTTTTGTAACTGAATTTGATTTATATTGTCATATTGTGATTGTGATGTTTGTATTTACAAAAATATAGTCTTCAGCAATATTGTTGGTTTAGAAATGGCAGATAAAATCAACGGTTACCAGCTTATTTCTTAAGTGCAGATACATAGGGCAACTTTTGTCTACTAGCCCAGATCAGTCTAAATAGTTATGGACTGGTACTAATCTTGCCAGACTAGGCTGCAGCAAATAGCACTCAATGCATTAACAGCTTTTCCAATACATACCAATACAAAGGAATTAAGAAACATCAGGGAAAATTGAAGGAAAATGATACACCCATATGAAGCCAGGAGGCAAGTGACAGAGCAGCAGCAATCAAGCACTTATCAATGGTTGTTAACTGGTGAGGGCACTGCATAAGATGGTTGGGAAGAGTTTCCTGTTGTGTCACTCCACAGCACCCTCCCTAACTGTCCACATTGCAGTGTGCCTTTATGGCAGTCCATACAAGTTAATACCTGCACTTGACAGCCAATGATTGTTGTGTTAATCTTTTGCTGCACTACGGAGCAGGTAGGTGCATATTTAGTTAACCTGAATCACTTTAGTATTTTTCATTCAATAATTGTCCTAGAAAGGGCAAAAAAATAGAAATGGCACAGAGACACATGACAATCCAAGTGCCGAAAGGGAAATTAAACAGTATACATTTTTTAAAAATAGTGATTTTCCAATGTCAGCTAACAAAAAGCAGTCCCAAAATTTTCCAGACCTTCAATCATTAGTATCTTCTTAGATATTTTCTGTATTATACATGAACTTTAAAGTGGCAACATGATGTGAACCGGTCCCTATTGTCAGATATCGAAACCTTTTGAAAACATACATTGCCAAGTGAATGGTTGCCTCAACAAACCTTTATCCTCTGTTCCTCGTGGCACTGAAGACTTAGTTGCAGAAACATATTGGATGGTATAACAGAATCCAAATGTAGCACATAAAGGATCAAGTGCTTCAAATCTCATCCTTTCTTAGGAGGACAGAAATTTGTAGTAAAATTTAAAAATTGGATACTAAAAGGGCGCAACAGAGTTCTAGATATTTTTAATAGATACTTTGGTAGATATTTTTAATTAAGCTAGTCAGATATGTCATTGCACACCTCCGGAGCAGATAGACATTACCACGTTTCACAAGACACCCCTAGATTTTTTGTACACTGATGTTAAAACCCTCACTGATTTTTAATTATTTTTACTTTTAGTTTTATTCATTTATTGATTTTGGTTTTGAGCTATGAACTGGGAATTGTTTGCTGAGAATGACTTGTGGTAAAAGGTAAAGAACAGATCAAATAAGCTTTGTTTGTTTGTGAAGCTAGGCCCGGAGGCTAATTGCAAGCTGAGTGTTGATTAAAAGAATTCCAACAGACACAGCGACCCCAAGAAGAGCGCTGTGTTTAAACACATAGAAGTCGGCTATAAACAAGGTCAGTACCTGAGAATTGGTTCCAGCAAGTCTGGAAGAGACGTTATGTTTGAGCAAACGGCAGTTGTCAAATGGTAAGTGAGGCCTCAGGAAAATGTTCAGTCTGTCATGGTGGAATCAGAATTGAAGCTCTTTTTTGAACAGTATTTGGACAGAGATAAGTTTAGCTGCTGACAAGACAGTATGAAAATTTAAAAGCTCCCAGCCTAATCTACTATGCCATCTCTTAGAAGCCCAAAGAGTAGAAACCTGAGTTAGAAGGATTGCTACCTTTGCCTGGCAGAACTGAGGTAACCCTGAACGTCAGTTACAGAAAAGAAACCAAGGTGTACACATCTATGCCCGTGAAACAAAGCACTGTGATTGCTATTTAAGTAATCTAGCGTGTTTTATTAACTTTCTTTGATTAAGTCTTTGTGTTTGTTCGTCAGTCTTTTATGTGAATCAGGGCTGAACATAAATGTGTTTAAAGCATTGACATTATTTAGATTACTTTGTTGTTTAATTATCTCTCTGTTAAAGTTATTGTGTATTTAATTTTTTAAAAAAATACCAAACTAGTGTCTGGAAATTAATTATTCACAAAGTCTGGGATTAGTTGTTCAAAAGTCTGGTTAGAAACCACTGGAGTGACTACTGTAGATCTTCGACGGTTAATTTTACTTTGTTGTGAATACAAAGGTAGAAAGGCTGATTTGGTTCAGCTGTCAGTGTAATAAGACTGGCACATATTACATTAACTCTGCTTCATCAGTTAAGTATTTAATTCTGCATTTGCAAAGGGACAGCTCCAAACAATAAGGTCTACGAAACCATCCAACAATAGAAGTGCAATGTGAAACTTTGTCACTTGCTTTCTTTACAAATATATGCATCGATTTTTGAACTTTTGCGGGCATATCATTTTCTCCACAAAAATTAGGTGAAGAGAAAGAAACACAAACCTGATCACCACGTTTCAACCCAGTTTCAGTAGCTTTACTACTAGGCTCTACGCTGTCTATGAAAATCCCAAAACCTTTTTCAGTGCCTCCCAAAAGGATAAATGGCAAAGGAGCTTCCCGTGACGGCTTCATTAGAGTTACTAGTCGCCGCTTGGCCTTAGCTGCACAAGCAATGTTCAACAAGCGAAGGTGACCGCCCATTTTCTGCACAACACAAAAAAGTACAATCTTCAAACTGAAATCCAACTTCACTTACTTTCAAGTTTTTTTTTGAGACAAGTTTAAGACTAATCAAATTATTTAAGTTAGATAACTTACCTCTCGCTCCAAATTGTTTTCAAATTCTTCTAGAAATATGGTCATTGCAGAATTTCCTTCAAAATCATTGAAGTGATTGTTTACCCACAGTAATACTACCCGTGTAACCTGTAAAGTATTCACAGTTTATTTTCCCGTTAGAGGTACAGCACGTTTGATGTATGCAACATATGCTGACTTAACTTCAATTTAGAAAAGTAAGAATCTGCAGATGAAGCTTGATTATTTCAAGTAATTAATCATTTATACCTACTCAAAATTTATTTTTTGAAGTTTAATGAAATCTTTTAATTTGAGGTTAGGTTATTATGAAAGAAGTTATAAGTCAATTTACAACAGTTGACGGCAGAACAGTTAGATTATTTGGAAATGTTTTATATATGTGAAATAATGCATTAACTTCAAATTATAGGAATTAAAAGTACAGTTAGAATTAAACCTTCTCAAACCACTTCAGTTTACTTGTACAATAATGTGTTTTATAGTCTTTTGAAGCTTTAGACCATTTTAAAATTTTCCAACTCTCTTGCCAAGTGAACGGGTAGAGATGCTTTCAGAAAGGATGAAATATGGGTAGATGATGGCCTATTGGTATTATCGCCAGACTATTAATCTAGAAACTCAGCTAATGTTCTGGGAACACAAGTTTGAATCCTGCCACGGCAGATGGGGGAATTCGAAATCAGTTTAAAAAAAAATCTGGAATTAAGCATTTACTGAAGACCATGAAACCGTTATTGATTGTTGGAAAACCTATTTGGCTGATTAATGTCCTTCAGGGAAGGAAATCTGCCAGTTTCACCTACAGACCAATAGCAATGTGGCCCTCTGAAATGGCTTAGCAAACCGCTCACTTGTACCAATTGCTGCCAAGTTTACACCCCTCCTGCCTGGATAACTGCAGCTCCAACAACACTCAAGAAGCTTGACACCATTCGGGACAAAGTAGCCGCTTGACTGATACCACATTCTCAAACATCCACTCCCTTGCTCAGTAGCCACAGTGTGTACTATCTACAAGATGCACCGCAGAAACTCACCAAAGATCCTTAGACAGAACTTCCAAACCCCTTTTCATCTAGAAGGGCAAGGGTAGCAGATACATGCGAACAACCCCACCTGCAATTGCCCCTCCTAGTCACTCACCATCCTGACATGGAAATAGATTGCCATTCCTTCACTGTTGCTGGGTCAAAATCCTAGAATTCCCTCCCTAATAACATCGTGGGTCAAATCACAGCAAATGAACTACAACATTTCAAGAAGGTAGCTTAACACCATCTTCTCGAGGGCAACTACAAATGGGCAATAAAATGCTGGCCAACCAGCAATGCCCAGATCCCACAAATGAATAAAAGAAAAATTACTTGCATCATAATTTAAAAAGTAATTGGGCTGGGCCATTTCAGCAGGCAGTTACGACTCAATCATATTACTGCGAGTCTGGAGTCACATGTAGATGCACCTCATAATGATGTTAGATTTCCTCCCCTGAAGCACATTATGGTACCAGAAGGGTTTTACAACAATGCATAGCTTCGTGATCATTGTGATTAGCATCTTATTCTGGGTCTATGAACTAAATATACATTTGAACGCATCTCACTGGAGCATAAGTCCAGGCCACCAGATTACCAGTCCATTAACATTACCATTATACTACTGTCCTGTGCTGCAACTTTTGTAAGGCCAAGAAAAATGAAGGCTAGGGAAGGACTGGTTTGTAAAATTCCCGAAAATTGCTGCCAAATGACTGATAAAATTAATTGATCAACACCAATTCAGAATAGAAGGCAACAAGTTACATGTATGCAGACTATAAAACTGGTGTCAAATAAGAAACAGTCCAAGTCAAATAAACAGCATTTGGATTTCTTTGCCACCTAACAACATCCAAGGCATATTATCAATGAACATAATTACAAATCAATCTTTCTACTCAAATTTCTTTGCATTTATGTTGAGTCTGCAAAGATACCTATTGAATTTTCACTAGCACATTCACTTCAGAATCACAAGTTCCCAAGTTCAAGTTGCACCTCAGGGCTTCAACACAAAAGTCAAGGCTGACAATTCAGGGCAGTACTAAGGGAGCATTGTATTGTTGGAGGTGTCATCCTTCAGATGAACTGTTGAACTGAGGCCCCATTTATTTGCTCATGTGGACGTAAAAGGCCCAATAACAATGTTGCAAAGAAGAGTTATCCCCTGAGGTCTGGCCAATATTTACACATTTATCAACAGATTATCTGGTCACTATTGTAATCTGTTTGTGGGAGCTTGCTGAATGCAAATTAGTAGCCATATTTCCCACAGTACAATAATGACGGCATTTCAAAAAAAATACTCAACTGACTATGAGATATCAAGTGGTTGTGAAAAAAATAACAAATGCACGTCCCTTTTGTTATGAATCATTGGCAAATGAAAAAAATGTATCAGCTAAAGCAAGTTATTTATTATTACACACCCAGAAGACAAATCATGCTTTTTTTTCTTTTGGCTACCTTGTCCCTGAGACTTGGGTCATTAAACCATTCCAGCAATTTCTTCCCAACTTCCATTGGGCTTGATAAGAAGGTTCTGTATGTTAAAAGAAAATCTTCTATGTATGTGGGATCCACCACTGAATGCTCTTCCACCAGGTGCATTGTTAACCGTTCAGCCGTTCCCTAACATAATACGGATAGAACAGATCGTTAGATACATGCTAATTAGATCTGTAAAATCAGCTTTTAGACATAATGGACATAATAAGTATTTTTCTGATGTATTTAAACATTCCTTTACTATCTTCTCTGGTTATAATTACCTTTATGACAATATGCCCTTTCCTGGTTCCAGTGCGATCCAATTCTCGATGTTCTTTTACCATAACAATCTCCCCCTCCTCCTCAACTTTCTGCATATTCTTTTCCACCTGGTTGAGGATTCGACAATAGTCTTGCTGGGCTATGCACACAAACTGCCACAGATCACAGAAAATGTTACAACTTTAGTCAAACTTATACATGCAATAATGCTATTTATACTTATGTACATAGGCTGCGACGTAATTTGAGCATTAATTTAAATTAGTACAGACGTTATTACATTCCGCTATTCCTCACTTGCAGCAAGCACATCTGAATGAAATAAAACAAAATTTACTAAATATTAGGAATTTGCGTCAATGTTCATACTCTATTTTACAGGTTGGACTTGTTTTACAAGAAGAGCACAGAATTACTCAGGATTCTCGTGGGAAAATAGGGGATGGAATCACTAAAGTGAACTCTTGCAGAATCTCCCAATTTCCACAATGGTCAGTCTGCCCCCATCCATAATATTTGAAAGTTCTTGTAACAAAATACCCTTAAAGATAAAGACTACATTTCTTCCTAAATCCTAATAAGATTGATTTAAAGAAATCACATTTAAAATGACACATAGAATTACAGAATACTACGAGCAACATCCCTACATGGAGAAACTACTTGATTTTAAAGCAGTTTTGAAATTATTTTTTTCAAAAGAGGCAACAGAGTGGCTCAGTGGTTAGCACTGCTGCCTTACAGCACCAGGGACCCGGGTTCGATTCTAGCCTCAGTAGAATGTGTGGAGTTTGCACATTCGCCCTGTGTCTGTGTGGGTTTCCTCCAGGTGTTCTGGTTTCCTCCTACAGTCCAAAGATGTGCAGGCCAGGTGGACTGGCTGTGCTAAATTGCTCAAGGTGTCCAGGGATATGTAGGTTAGGTGAATTAGCCACGGAAAATGCAGGGTTACAGGGAAAAGTGGGGTGTAGGTCCAGGTAGGATGCTGTTTGGAGAGTCGGTGTGGACTCTATGGGCCAAATGGCCTATTTCCACACTGTAGGGATTCTATGAAAAGATCTTTAATGCGTAAAATTATTAATCTGAAAAGATGCATTCCATACATTTCTTTTATATATCACTTTGACAATGTATACATTTGTCCTACCGAAAATTCAAAAAATATATATCTTCATAGATATCCACACAGTCAATCACCCGAGGGTAGAATTGAACTCAGGTCCCTGGCACTGTGAGGCAGCAGTGCTAACCACTGAGCCACCATGCCTCCCAATATCTTGTACAACACAGATGGAATTATTTCCTGTGCAAAGGATTACCTATATATTCTGTGGTGAAATACAGTCTATTGAAACCACACTGTGACTTGAAAAGTTATTACAACTTTCTGGGCATATAGTTAACAAAAATCACTGCAGGCATCAGTGGGATAATACTTTCCTTTTTACTCAGGTGCGGAATCTAATAAGTTCAAAATTTTCTTTTAATATTATAAGCAGAACTTAAAATTCCAACTTGTTTTTAAAATGAGAAATTCCGATAATACTGACTAAAATCAACTCAATTACCTGGCAGTCATCAGCCTTCGTTTTCATCACTCCCTTCATGTATTCCTTCTCTAAAGTAGGAGAGACACCAAAGCTATTGCCCATGCATAGGATTTCCAGCCTTCCTTCTGAATATGTGACTTCTACAGAACCATTTAAAATGACCGACCAAGAGTCAAGCTAGTACAAAAGAATTTAAAGCATTAAAAATGTTCATATCATTCATAAATTCTGCTAAAAATAAGCATTTCAGATCATTCATTCTTTTAACATTGCAGTTTTGTGATGTAAATTCATTCTCTCTATTGAAAACTGAATTGGTTTCACAAAAAAATGATTTCTACATTTCAGTATGAATTATTTACTCTCTCAGCTTTAGAATAATGACATATTCAATGGCTAAACAACATCTATCAAAATCACAGTGGAAAATACTATTAGTCTTCTGGTTTACAGTTAACAAATTATTTTACACAAACAATTTTGGTTTAGGATATGTACTGTAGATCAGAGCATATATCTTATCAGCACAATTATTTGAACGCAAAAATCACATGACATGCTATACCTGCATCAGCAATTCTGGAACTTCGACTTATTCTGGTATTTGCCATCTCTACCAGTTTGTGGTATTTTGTAAGGGTATTTGAGGTATTTATTACTATCAATCTTTCACTGTTTTTGCTTTGTCTTGGCCCTAACCAGTATCTATAGATGAGATATTGTTCTTAGATAGCAAGATGGTCATAATTATTAGGACCATAGGGAGCTGGTACACATACATCTACTATCTTAGATTAAAATCAGACCCCACAAGCAAGGAACCCACTATTTTTCCCAAGTACAAAGAGAATGCGTTCTGAGAAAAGTGTGAAATGTTGGAACCATGTGCATTTGTGAACTCAAAGGCTTGGGAAGATGGGGTAGTGGTAAATAGGGAGATGTTGTAAAGAATTATTGTTCATGTTACATTGGATTACACACAGTCTGTGGTTGGATTTTATTTTAGTTATTTTTGTTTTTATTTTATTACAGTATATTTTCATTTGGTCAGGCATAACTATTAAGACCTTAGGGAGCTTGAACAGATAGACTGCTCCCTTCGAAACTACAGTAGAACTCCTTGTTTCCACCTAAAGACTGGGTGTTCCCTGACTGCTGCAAAGTTCTCATGGAAAACAAATCCCATTTTCAGTGTGAAGATGTCCTCCATTGTGTCGTACGGCGCTATCACCATGGTAAATGGGAGAAATTTCAAATAAATCTAGCAAGTCAAGATTGGACATCCATGAGGTACCATGGGCCATCAATAGCTGCCAGACTGTACTCAAACATAATCTGCAAATTCATGGCCTGGCGTGTCCCCACTCTACCATTACCACCAAGCCAGTGGACAAACCCTGGTACAAATGAAGAGTGCAGGAGGGCACGCCAGGAGCAGCACGTGTCATACCTAAAAATGAAATATTAACCTGTGTAACTATGACAAAGCAAAGCAGCAAGTGATAAGACAGATCTAATTTCTGCAGTCCTGACACATCCAGTTATAGACAAATAAAAAATTCACTACAGGAAGAGGTTACACAAATATCCCCATCCTCAATGATTACAGAGCACATCATACCAGAGCAAAACGTATGGATAAAGCATTTGCAACAATCTTCAAAGAGAAATGCCAAATGGATAATCTATCTTGGGCCTCCTCCAGAGGTCCCCAGCATCCAACATACCAGTTTCCAGCCAATTTGATTCACTCTACGTAATGTCAAGAAATGATTGGAGGCACTGGATACTGAAAGGGCTATGGACCCAGACAACAATCTGGCAATAATGCTGAAAATGCGCACAACAAAACCTGCCGCGTTCCTAGCCAAACTGTTGCAGTACAGCTACAACACTGGCATCTACCTGACAATATGGAAAATTGCCCAGATATGTCCTGTACACAAAAAAACAAGACAAATCCAACCTGATCAATTTCTGCCTCATCAGTCTACTCTTGATCATCAGTAAAATGATGGAGACTGTCATCAACAGTGCTTTGAAGCAGCACTTGCTTAGCAACAAACCGTCTTCTCACTCTCAGTTTAGGTTCTACCAGGGCCAGTCAGATCTTGATTTTATACAGTCATGTTATAAACATGAACAAAAGAGCCGAATTCGATTTGATTTATTGTTCTCACATGTATCTAAGTACAGTGAAAAGTTTTGTTTTCAAAGCAGTACAGGCAGATCATAGCAAACAAGGAGAATTCCACAGGTGAGGTGAGAGTGACTGCCCTTGAAATTGAAGCTGTATTTCCCTAATAGTGACATTAAGGAGCCAATAGAAAACTTTTTTGGTTGTAGTTATTGGAGGTCAATATTCTAAGCTCCAACACAGACATTTTGCTGGAGTTCCTCAGGGTAGTGCCCTAGGCGCAACTGTCTTCAGCTGCTTCATGTGTTATGATTCACTTGGGAAACTGCACTGATTCTCATTCCTCATTACTCCCCGGGGTCACCACAAAAGTTAATTATTTAATCAAGGCACACAAAGTCCCCGATTAGCCTGTCTGATGGAATCAAAATCAACAGAAAATACTGATCAGGTTCCTGCATTTAACTACTGCTTATATTAAATTTTAATTAAAGGCAAACAGCTATGAATTAGCAACATATGACTCTAACCATCTTGTTAAACCTTCTGCGTGTGCGCACAAACAAGCAAAAAAACTGGATTTATGGTGGAGGGAAACAAAAAATGAGAAACACAGTTAAATGGCACCAGTCCATAAGACCCATTGAGATATTCCCTTTGGTTGCTAAGACTTTCCGGTTTTTTACCTCCTTTCTCCAAGCTCTTTCACTTATTCGCAGGACGCACAAGGCAATTAGTACACTAACTTCAAAGTTTCTTAGTTACTGGTTAACAGCAATAGCTTAGAGTAACTGGTGGGAGAAAAGTAACTGGCTTTCTTCAGACTTCAGGTACTTTTCTTGCAGAGAAAAAGAGACAGACTCTCTCACACAATCTGCCCTTCCAGTAGTCTGAAGGCTCTTCAATGCATCGTTCACCCATCCAAGCTTTCAGCTCCCTGGGAACCAAAGTTGTCATCAGATTGATGTATTTTGCTTTCATGACTAGTCACAATTGAATAAACCAATTAGCTACTTGTTGCCAGTCAAATCACACGCTATGCACACTCTTTGGTGCTGTGTCCTTTACAAACATCTCCCTACATTGCTTGCACAAAACCACACACAATGAATTTCAGTAACTTGTTTTTAAAAAAGTACAGTCCTTTTGTTTTAAATCCACAAAGAAAAATTCAATAAATAAGACATACGAATGATTTTCACTCCACCATAAGTGAAAAAGTTTGATCATGACTGCACATTGATGACACCTCAGATAATGAAAATAGACCATGTCCAAATATAGCAAGATCGAGACAATATCCAGATTGGGCAGATATGGTCCCACACAAATGCCAAGCAATGGCCATCTCCATAAAGAGGGAATCTAAACATCAGCCCATGACATTCGATGGCCTTACTATAGTTGATACCCTCGCAACAGTTATCATTGTTCTGAAATGCAACTGGCCTAGCCATATAAAGAGCCGGTCAGAGGCCAGGATTCAGCAAGGCTTTTTAGATAACACCTTTCAGACCTTGAGCACAACCGTCTAGAAGAACAAGGGCAATAGATACACAGGGATGCCAACAAGTTGCCTTCCAAGTCATTCGCCATTCTGGCTGGGAAATATATTGCCGTTCCTTCAGTGCTGCTGAGTCAAAATCCTGGAACTCTCTCTCTAACAGCATTGTGGATCCATCTCCACCAAATGGACTTAAACAGAGCAACCAGCAGCTCACCTGGTGAAGACACCAAACAGGACTATTTGCTTGCCAAATAGCATAAGCAGCAAGTGATAGACAGAGCTAAGTGATCCCACAACCTACAGATCAGATCTAAGCTCTGCAGTCCTGCCACATCCAGACATGAATGGTGGTGGACAATTAAACAAAGCACTGGAAGAGGAGGCTCCAGAAATATCCCCATTCTCAATGATGGAAGAACCCAACACATCCATGCAAAAGATAATGTTGAAGCTTTCACAGCAATCTTCAGCTAGAAGTACCAAGTGGACGATCCATCTTGGTCTCCTCAAGTGATCCCCAGCATTGCAGATACCAGTCTTCAGCCAATGCGATTCACTCCACGTGATATTAAGGAAAGGTCAGAGGCACTGGATACTGTAAAGGCTACGGGTCCTGACAACATTCTGGCAATAGTACTCATGACTTGTGCTCCAGAACTTGCCACTCCCCTAACCTGCTCAGTGATGCCCAGACTAGGTTCCGACAGGGCCACTCAGCTCCTGATCTCATTACACCCTTGGTTCAAACATGCACAAACAAGTTGAATTCCAGAGGTGAGGTGAGAGTGGCAGCCCTTGACCTCAAGGCTGCACTCGAACAAGTTTGGTATCACGGAGCCCTAGCACAGTTGGCATCAATGGGCATCAGGGGAGAAACTCTCCCGTGGTTAGAGTCATACCTGATATATAGGAAGATGGTCATGGTTGTTGGAGATCAGTCATCTCAGCTCCAGGACATCTCTGCAGGAGTTCCTCAGGGTAGTATCCTATGCCCAACCATCTTCAGTTGCTTCATCAATGACCTTCACTCCATCATAAGATCAGAAGTGGGGATGTTCACCAACGATTGCACAACATTTAGCACCATTTGTGACTCGTCAGACACTGAAGCAGTCCATATCCAAATGCAACAAGATCCGGCCAATATCCAGGCTTGGGCTGAGAAGTGGCAAGTAACATCCACACCACACAGATGGCCCTTGACATTCAATGGTGCTACCATCACTGAATCCCCCACTATCAACATCCTGGGAGTTATCATTGATCAGAAGCTCAACTGGACTCACCACATAAACGCAGTGGCTACAAGAGCAGGTATGCTGGTGGGGGATTTCAATATCCAATTTCAATGTTTCAATTTCAGTGGCTCAGCAGCAGTAATACTGATTGAGCTGCTCAGGTCCTAAACTACATAGCTGCTAGATTGAGTCTGCGGCAGGTGGTGAGGGAACCAACAAGAGGGAAAAACATACTTGACGTCATCCTTACTAATTTGCCAGCTCCAGATGCATCTGTCCACAACAGTTATTGATAAGAGCGACCACCACACAGCCCTTGTGGAGATGAAGTTTTGCCTCCACATTGAAAATAACCTCCATCGTGTTGCGGCACTATCACCATGCTAAATGTGACAGACTTCAAGCAGATCTAGCAACTCAGGACTGGGCATCCGTGAGGTACCGTGGGCCATTGACAGCAGCCGAATTATACTCCAGCCCAATGTGTAACCTCATCAGCCAGCATAATCCCCACTCAATCATTACCATCAAGCCAGGGGATCAACCCTGGTTCAATGGAGAGTGCAGGAGGGCATGCCAGGAGCAGCAGCAGGTAAATCTGAAGACGAGGTGTCAACCTGGAGAAGCCACCAAACAGGACTACATGCAAGCCAAAAAGCATAAGCAGCAAGTGATAGATTCAGCTAAGCGATCCCACAACCAACGGATCAAATCTAAGCTCTGCAGTCCTGCCACATTCAGTTGCGAATGGTGGTAGATGATTAAACAACTCACTGGAGCAGGAGACCCCACAAATACCCCATTCTCAATGATCGAAGAGCCCAGTACATCAGTGCAAAAGATAAGGCTGAAGCTTTTGCAGCATTCTTCAGCCAGAAGTGCCAAGTGGATGATCCATCTCAGCCTCCTCCAGTGGTCCCAGCATTGCAGATACCAGTCTTTAGCCAATTAAATTCACTCCACATGATATCAAGACATTGTCAGAAGCACTGGATACTTCAAAGGCTACGGGTCCTGACAACATTCCGACAATAGTACTGAAGGCTTGTGCTCCAGAACTTGCCGTTCCCCTAGCCAAACCGCTCCAGTAGAGTTACAACACTGGCGTCTACCTGACAATGTGAAAAATTGTCCAAGTATGTCCTGTACACAAAAAGCAGGACAAATCCAACCTGGCCAATTACTGCCCCCATCAGTCTACTGTCAATCATTAGTAAAGTGATGGAAGGTGTCATCAACAGTGCTATCAAGCAGCACCTGCTCAGCAATAACCTGCTCAATGACGCCCAGACTGCGTTCCGACATGGACACTCAGTTCCTGACCTTATTACACCCTTAGTTCAAACATGGACAAACAAGTTGAATTCCAGAGGTCAAGTGAGAGTGACAGCTCTTGACATCAAGGCTGCACTTGAACAAGTATGGCATCAAGGAGCCCTACACAACTGGAATTAATGGGTATCAGGGGACAAACTCTCCGGCGATTAGGGTCATACCTGACATATAGGAAGATGGTTGTGGTTGTTGGAGATCAGTCATCTCAGCTGCAGGATATCTCTGCAGGAGTTCCTCACGGTAGTGTCCTATGCCCAACCATCTTCAGCTGCTTCATTAATGACCTTCCCTCCACCAATGAGGTCAGAAGTGGGGATGTTCACCAACGATTTTGTACAATGTTCAACATCATTCGCAACTTCTCAGACACTGAAGCAGTCCATGTCCAAATGCTACAAGATCTGGACAATATCCAGGTTTGGGCTGACAAGTGGCAAGTAACATTTGCACCACACAAATGCCAGGCTATGACCATCACAATCTAATAAACAATCTAACCACCATCCCTTGACATTCAATGGTGTTACCATCACTGAATCCCCCATTATCAACATCCTGGGAGTTATCTTTGATCAGAAGCTCAACTGGACTCACCACATAAATGCAGTGGTTGCAAGAGCAGTCAGAGGCTAGGAATCCTGCGGCAAGTAACTCATCTCCTGACACCTGAAAGCCTGTCCACCATCTCCAAGGCACAAGTCAGGAGCATGATGGAATACTCTCCACTTGCCCGGCTGAGTGCAGCCCCAACAACACTCAAGAAGCTTGACACCATCCAAGACAAAGCAGTCCGCTTGAGTAGTGCCAGGTTCACAAGCATCCACTTCCTCCACAAACGATGCTCAGTTGCAGCAGTGTATATTATCTACAAGATGCACTGCAGAAATTCACCAAAGATCCTCAGACAGCACCTTTCAAACCCACGGCCACTTCCATCTCATAGCACAAGGGCAGCAGATATATGGGAATACTACCACCATCAAATTCCCCTCCAAACCACACACCATCTTGACTTGGAAATAGATCACTACTCCTTCACTGTTGCTGGGTCAACATCCTGGAATTAGCTCCCTAATGGCATTGTGAGTCAACCCACAGCAGGTGGACTGCAGCAGTTCAAGAAGGCAGCTCACCACCACCTTCTCAAGGACACCTAGGGATGGGCAATAAATGCTGGCCAATCAGCAACGCCCAAATAATGAATAAAAAATAAACTTTGTCTTCAGGTAATTTTCCATAATGCTAATCTTCATAAGTTAACTCAGAATCTTACCTGGATGTTTCACCTCAGGATCAGCAAAGTTACCATCATTCTGGTGAAAAATAGGGAGACTTCTATTTTTAAGTAAATTGTTTAACCAAAGCCAAATCAATATAAAAATTTATGTGCATGCAAAATTAAAACCTGCCACTATACACTTGCTGTTCTTACATCAGTAATCAAAATTCAACAAACTGATTAAAATACACACCTCTTCACCATCATTGAGTACTATAGTGCCCGCCCGCTCTACCACTGCAAACACCATCACAGCACATAGTTCTCTTCTGACTGACATGGTCATGTTCGCAAAAGCCGGCAGTTGATGCATGAATTCCAACAATTGTTCTGCATAGGAAAAACAAAAACAGCAAATTAGATTTCTGGAAACAGGAAACCTCCAACAAATATTTGACAGCTCAACTTGTACACTCCTTTCAGGAATCAGCTCACACAACTGACCTGTTTAAACATCCCAGAACAACAACAGGATAACACCAATTCTCTGCTCCTGAGTACCAAGATTTCATAAACTTAAACATTGTATGTTCATAAATAATAACATTTCTGTCTTTTAAAAATGTTGATGTTGGAAATTTGGACAGAAGTTTAAAATTCTTAGTCAGTTAGGCTGTAAAGTGCCTAACTAAATGAGTTTATGTTGCACTTGATTGCACACAGAGGAAGAAAAAAAAATCAAAGGGTTAAGAATTAAGAAGGGATAGACAGCTGGACAGCTGAAAGTCACATTTGGATGAGAAGTTTTTTTTTTGATTATTTAATCCAATGTGGGCTTTGCTGACACAATTTATTGCCCATTACAAAACGTCCGTGAAAAGGTTGTGATGAGTCTTTCTTGATCTGTAGCAGTCTGTATGAATGCATATGTATAATGCTGTTGGACTTGATTTTTCTGTAGCAGATTCAAACAGAACTTTTTTTTAAATTAACACATGGAATGAATGCAAGAACCTCTACATCTAGACATGAAGGCAGAGGCTAGCCGTAGTAAATGCTGATCCTTCAGTACAGAAACACCGAAAATTATCATTCAGCATATAGGAAGCATGATTGGAGTGGAGTGGAGCAGCATAAATGAGGGTCAGATTGGAGCAGAGTAAAGCAACAATTCTTAACTTTTTGATTTTTTTTACTCCTCTGTGTGCAATCAAGTGCAACATAAACTCATTTAGTTCGGATTTCTGAAGAAGGGTCTGGACCCGAAATGTCAGCTTTCCTGCTCCTCTGATGCTGCCTGGCCTGCTGTGTTCATCCAGCTCTATACCTTGTTATCTTATAACTGAAGCTGGGGTTAGAGTGGTCACCCTGGATCTTAAGATTGCGCAGGAAGAGGAGGAATGGGCAACTTCCAGCCAGTGAAGGAGGCCCAAGTAGTTAACAGGAAAATGGGCCTGCATTTGAGCATGTTCCACCATTCAATAATTAAAAATCTAACTGTGCTTTTAATACACTGCAAAAAACTTCCTCCACCATTCTCTGGGGCAGCAAAGGGGACTCGTGTCTGGCTACCAGGCCCATGGTGGGGCACTTAACAAGGAGGAGCATAAAATTGAACACTTTTTCTTTATTTTTCAGCCTTTATATTCTACGTTATGTTTCTGTATTTTAAGATGGTACCAGAGAGCAAAAACACTATATAACACTTTTCGCTGTAGGAACAAACTACACATGACAATAAATGAATCAAATCAGATCAAATCAAAACATTCAATCCAGTTAGATCACTTATTGAGTAACAGTCTATCACTTTTCAATTATCATCTAGGAAGGCAAAAAATACGCCAAGCTTCTCATCACTACTAGCCATTCAACAACACATTCCTGCCTTCTCCATCCTCACTAGCAAATATTAACATGAAAATCTTGACTTTTTTTAAAACTAAGATTAAGATCATCTATTGAGTTGCTCTGCTGCTTTCCCTGCTTCCCTCAGGTCATCAATCCTCACATTCTCTCAGGTACTGCCTATTATCCTAATTATAAATTCAGATCTCTCCCTTTTTTCCATCTTACCTCTGTTCATGTTCTCAAGCTAAGGTTATTAAAACTATTAGCAGCTCACCATCACCACCTTCTCAAGGGTAATATGGATGAGCAACAAATGCTGCCCTTGTCATGAACTCCCATATCCTATGAACACATAGAAAAGTAATCAACGACATATGATAATTGATAATAGAAGCACGTTTCAGAAGAAAATGTGATGAAATTCTGCAATGCACTGGCAAGACCAGACATGGAGTCATTTACTTTTGAGCCGCCAAGAAACAGATAGCCATTCAAATATTGGAGAGAATGCAGACAAACACTTTTGATTCCGGATGTCCGGCGCCTTGGTTAAGGGAAGAAGATTGGAGAAATGTGGCTCCTTGAATACTGAAAGGAAGTATTAAACATATGAACTTATGGAAGTGAAATTGACAGCAGAGAAGATGTAATTCCTTTAAAATAAAACAAGAGGTCACGGTCTCAGGCTAGCAAAAATAGTTAGGACTTGTATCAGGAAGATGGTCTTCATATCAAGAGTGGGTAATACATAGAATAATTTCTCAAGTAGCAAATGAAAATGAAAATCTTGGAACTGTTTAAGAAAGCAACTGGCTGCCTTAATGAGGGAAGGCTTTGAGGTACTTCTACATAGAGCAAATAGCTTCTTTTATCTGTAATTATCCCGTGAAAGACCACTTAGGCCACGTACAATATGCCAACTAGCTTCTCAGAAGTCATACATCAGTCGTACCTCTTCAGGGGAAAATAGAAACAGGCAAATAAATTTAAATTTACAAAAAAAAAAGATTCACTTTCTGCCTCTACTGCTAAAAAAGCTAATTATTTGGGAAAGGCAAGAACAAGAACAAAGATCAAAGAAAATTACAGTACAGGAACAGGCCCTTCGTCCCTCCAAGCCTGCACCGACATGCTGCCCATCACAACTAAAACCCTCTACCCTTCCGGGGACCGCATCCCTCTATTCCCATCCTAATCATATATTTGTCAAGACGCCCTTTAAAAGTCACTATTGTATCTGCTTCCACTAGCTCCTCCGGCAGTGAGTTCCAGGCACCCACCACCCTCTATGTAAAAACCTTGCCTCATACATCACCTTTAAACCTTGCCCCTCGCACTTAAACCCATGGCCCCTGGTAACTGACTCTTCCACCTTGGGAAAAAGCTTCTGACTGTCCAGTCTGTCCATGCCCTTCATAATCTTGTAGACCTCTATCAGATCCCGCCTCAACCTCTACTGTTCCAGCGAGAACAACCTAAGTTTCTCCAACCTCTGCTCATAGCTAATGCCCTCCATACCAGGCAACATCCTGGTAAATCTTTTCTGTACCCTCTCCAAAGCCACCACATCCTTCTGGTAGTGTGGCAACCAGAACTGAACACAATATTCTGAATGTGGACTAACTAAGGTTCTGTAAAGCTGCCACATTACCTGCCAATTTTTAAACTCAATGCCCCGGCCGATGAAGGCAAGCATGCCACATGCCTTGCTGACTATCTTTTCCACCTGTGTTGCCACTTTCAGTGACCTGTGTACCTGTGTACCCAGATCCCTCTGCCTATCAGTACTCTTAAGGATTCTGCCATTTACTGTATATTTTCCATCTGGATTAGACCTTCCAAAATGCATTACCTCACATTTTTCCAGATTAAACTCCATCTGCCATCTCTCTACCCAAGTCACCAATCGATGTATATCCAGCTGTATTCCTTTGACAGTCCTCAACGCTAGCCGCAATTCCACCAACCTTTGTGTAATCGGCAAACTTACCAATCAAACCAGTTACATTCTCCTCCAAATCATGTATATATATTACAAACAGCAAAGATCCCAACACTGATCCCTGAGGAACGCCACTAGTCACTCCAACCCTTCAGAAATGCACCCTTCCACTGCTACCGTCTGTCTTCTATGACTGAACCAGTTTTTTTACCCATCTTGCAAGCTCACCTCTGACCCCATTCGACTTTACCTTCTGTATCAGCCTGCCATGAGGGACCTTGTCAAAGGCCTTACTGAAGTCCATGTAGACAACATCCACTGCCCTACTCTAATCAATTATCTTCGTCACTTCCTCAAAAAACTCAACCAAGTTAGTGAGACACTACCTCCCCTTCACTAACATGCCCATTGATTTCCAGGTGGGAGTAAATCCTGTCTCCAAAAATCCTCTCCAATAATTTCCCTACCACTGATGTAAGGCTCACCGGCCTGTAATTAGTTAGATTAACCTTGCCACCCTTCTTAAACAAAGGAACAACACTGGCTATTGTCCAATCCTCTGAGACCTCCCCTATAACCAGTGAGGATACAAAGATTTCCCTCAAGGCCCCAGCAAATTCCTCCCTTGCCTCTCTCAGTATTCTGGGGTATATCCCATCAGACCCTGGGGACTTATCTACCTTAATGTTTATCAAGACCCCCAATACCTCCTCCCTTTTGATCTCAACATGACTCAAACTACCTACACACTCTTCTCCAGACTCATCATCCACCAAGTCCCTCTCTATGGTGAATACTGACGCAAAATACTCATTTAATACCTCGCTCATTTCCTCTGGCTCCACACATAAATTCCCTTCCCTGTCCTTGAGTGGGCCAACCCTCTGCCTGGCTACCCTCTTACTCTTTATTTCTGTATAAAAAGCCTTGGGATTTTCCTTAATCCTGTTGGCCAATGACTTTTCATGACTTCTTTTAGCCCTCCTGACTCCTTGCTGAAGTTTCTTTCTACTTTCCTTGTGTTCCACTCTTGCTTCCCATGTTCCCAGCCTTCTAGCCTCGAAAAATGTTTTTTTTTTTTGATTAGGTCACAATATCTCTCGTTATCCAAGGTTCCCTAAACTTGCCATACTTATTCTTCATCCTTAAAGTAACATGCCTGTCCTGAGTTCCGAGCAACTTACACTTGAAAGCCTCCCACATACCATCTGTTGATCTGCCCTCAAACGTCTGCTTCCAATTTACATTCTTCAGTTCCTGCCTAATATTGTTGTAATTAGCCTTCTCCCAATTTAGCACCTTCACCTGACAACTACACCAATCTTTATCCGTCAGTACCTTAAAGCTTACTGAATTGTGATCACTGTTCCCGAGCTGCTCCCCTACTGAGACATCGACCACCTTGCCAAGCTCATTCCCCAATACTACGTCCAACTAGGAAAGGGGCCGTACTGGACCATCTACATACTGTATCAAGAAGCCCTCTTGGATACTCCTTACAAACTCTGCCCCATCCGAGCCCCAAGTACTTAGTGAGTCCCAGTCAATATAAGGGAAGTTAAAATCACCCACGACAACAACCCTGTTATTTTTACATCTTGCCAAAATTTGCCTACATATCTGTTCTTCTATCTCCCGCTGGCTGTTGGGAGGCCTGTAGTAAACCCCAAACATTGTGATTGCACCCTTCCGGTTCCTGAGCTCTACCTACATTGCCTCACTGTATGAGCCATCCAAGGTGTCCTCTTGCGGTATAGCTGTGATATTCTCCTCAACAAGTAGTGCAACTCCCCCACCCCTTTTATACTCCCCTCTATCCTGCCTGAAACATCTGTATGCTGGAAAGTTAAACTGCCATTCCCGTCCCTTCCTTAACCAAGTCTCTGTAATAGCAATAACATCATAGTTCCAAGTATTAATCCAAGCTCTAAGTTCATCTGCCTTACCTGTTACACTTCTTGCATTGAAACAGATGCACTTCAGTACACCAGATCCGCTTGGATCAGCAACCACACCCTGCCTGCTCTTCTTGAGTCTTACTGGCCCTATTCTCTAGTGCCCTTTCAGTCCATTCACCTTTGCATTGGTTCCCACTCCCCTGCCAAGCTAGTTTAAATACTGAGTGACACCAACAAACCTCCCAGCCAGAATATTTGTGCCCTTCCAGTTTAGATGCAACCCATCCTTCTTGTACAGGTCCCACCTGTCCTGGAAGAAGTCCCAATGGCCCAGATATCCAAAACCCTCCCTCCTACACCATCTGTTTAGCCAGTGTTGAGCTGTACTATCCTTCTATTTCTAGCCTCACTGGCATGTGGCACAGGGAGTAATCCTGAGATTACAATCTTGGAGTTCCTGCTTTTTAACTTTAAGGAGGACAGAGAAAGAGTGAAACTAAATGGATAGCTCTTCAGAGACTCAGCATAAGTGAAATGAACTGAATGGCTGCCTTCTGTGATCTGAAATGTAATGCTATATTCAGGATTTTACTTTCACAGCAAAAATAGTGATATAGCCTCAAATTACCTTCAAAAATGTAATCGTTATTTTCCAACTTTAGATCTTGTTGCCCAACTCACCAATATCATCATCTGTTCTATCTATGGGATCTTTCTCCAGACAGTCTCTCACAATGTCCCTGCTCATCAGTGGATCTGATGCTCTCTCAATATCCTCCTCATCATCATCATCTTCAGAGTCTACTGCAGTTTCGGGCAGGCCACTTAGGTCCATATCCCCAGCTTCACTCTCAGTAGCCTTTAAGATAAAAGGCAAACATGATCACCATTAGCAATAATTAGCAACACATGAGTAGAAAAGTACTGGATTTGATGAGGACGATATTTTTTAAAAATCCAACACTTTGTCCTTTCTCTATATCCATAAATGCCATTACTCTGCAAGTATTTAATCCTTTCAACCAGCTCGACTGATTTTCCATTGATGGCATTTTGTAGCTGTGTCTTTCAAATTCTCAAAACCTGGATTGTGATGCTTTGCCAAAATTCAACTAAATTTTTGCACACATTTTAGATTCTGTACCTGGATTCTCATACAAAAGCAGCCGCCATCTGCTATCAACCTATTGATTTTTTAAATTATTTAGCTATTTTATAATCAACCTGTTCAGCTTGAAGCAGGTGGGACTTAAATCCAGGTCTCCTGGCTTTTCTTCATTATTTAAAAATGATCCAATTATCTCCAGGAAATATAAAACAGGTCTTCCTGGGCTCTCATTTTATATATACTCTTCATCTACATATCTTCACAGAAAACTCCAAGATCATAAAAATGCCAAGTTAGATTAGAAATAACTTTGAAATACTTATTATAAAAAATGCATGCCAAATATAGCCTGTTGAACTCACGAGGAAGCCTGTTGAACTCACTTATTTTCTTTGTTACCATTTGTTGGCTTTCTACTAAACTGTTGTGTAACCTCAGCATCATTGTATGAAGAGGACAGCAATTCTTGTGATCTGTTTGTCAGACTGGAGTAATATTCTCAACTTATAAGAAAGCGAGCTTAACCAATAATGTGCAACTCCAACAGGGTTGGCAATTCTTGAATTGATTTGAATGAACATTTCAAGGATTTCATCAACAGTTTTCTGTCTCCAATGTCAACAAAATTTAAATTAAACACCAACACTCTAGCCACCTGGCAAAAACTGGACAGATCCATATGCTTTTGGTCTGCTTGGCCAATGGCACATTTGCCAGGGTTCCTTACACCTTTCTGGTTAGTAGTGACAGGAGTTATAGCGATTTTGCAGCATGTGAGAGAGCCAGCTTGTGAATTTTCCTTTAGAGACAGTGTCACTTTTTCTGTTTTATTCAAAGTCTGCATATATCTAGCAAGTGAACAGGCTGGACAAGCGCAGGTGAGTAATGCTAGCACAGTGCACATAATGGGATGCTTAATTCCAGGGACATGGCTTCAAATCCCACATTGACAGATGATACTTCCTTCAACATTATAAGAACTTGTTTTTACTTTTCTTAAAATTTTAACAGTTTGCTGGGAGAATTGTATCAATCTGTCATACGTAGACATCTTGTACTCACTACTATAAAAACAATATTGCATAAATTAATTGTTGTGATTGCAGGAAATTTAACATTCTTGCTTTTGTCTGAATGAGTATATAATCAAAAGCCTAGTAACGTGTCTTTCTTTCAGCCATATTCAAGTTTTATACTACCAATCCATTTGAATTTTCAACACTTCTGACAATCTGGCAGCCTTAGAGACTTTAAAAATGAATTCCTGCGTAGTTCACATCATCTACTGCCTGCCCTAGTTGGATATAATGCTGCAAGGTCACTGACGCAGTGAATAAAGCTTTATATTATTAATAATGCAAGAAGACTATCCTTAGATCATGGAGTAAGCCATCAAGAATTCAGTTTCATGATTTATTCAAGCTTGCCATAATCTGGAAATCCATCAGCCACCAAGCAGAAATTTCTACAGTGCCTTATTAAGTCTCAATAAAGCTAATAAATCAATTAAACACAAATAACATGACGTTCATATCCCAAATATTTACTTCAATTTATTCTCAATTTCCTCCCAACAAAAGCTACCGCTCGATTTGCAGATCCCTCCATACTAGACATGACACCAGTCTTACAGCAATACAGTTGACTCTTAACTGCACTCTGGACAATGAAGGCCAAAAAATGCTGACCGAAACAGGGATGTCCAAACTGCATGGGAAGAACAAAAAAAAGTGGTTTCTTTATCATATTTAAAATGCAATTCATGCTTCTCATTTCTTTAGTTATTAATGTGATGAGGGCATTACTGGCTAAGCTATTTATCGCCCTTTCCTAACTATCCTTGAGAAGGCAGTGGTGAACAGCCTTCTTAAATTGTTGCAGGCCTTGGGTGTACGGACATCATACTGCTGTTGAGAAGGTAATTCCAGGATCTTGACCCTGCAATACGGAAGGAGCAGTGATGCAGCTTTAAGTTAGGGTGAAGGGTGTCTTCAAGGAGAACATGCTGGTAGTGGCATTCCCATGCATCTAATGCCCTCGCTCTTCCAGGCGTTAGAGGTCATAGGTTTTGAAGGTGGTGCATTGCTGCAGTACATCTTGTAGCCGACCCACAATGAGGCCACTGTGTACCTGTGGTGCAGGGAATAACTGTTGAACCTCATGGATGTTGGTAGGCTGTATCAGAATTAGAATTAGCTTTATTGTTACATGTACTCAAATGAGTACAGTGAAAAGTTTGCAAGTCACCACTTACAGTACCATCTTAGGTACTTCTTGGGAATATAGAGAAGTTTAAAAAAAAACCAGCACTGCAGATTTACAAATAAATTATAAAATGGAGAAAAAATGCACACAGAAACTTTCTTCCAACCCAGTCCATGTTGACATCTAGCCTCCAGTCCACACTGAGCCTTGAACCAGACTGGCTTCACCTCAGGATTCACAAGGCCAGGAGATTGCTCTGGTATCACCTCGAGACCAGAAGTCCACATCGAGACCATGCCAGGCTGAAAGACCACCAAGTTCGGCTGCTGGAAGATTGCCACACCGGACCAAGAGACCGTCATGCATTGCCGAAAGGCTGCCTAAAGACTGGGGTTTCCGCGGCCGAGAGGTTCAAGGTCAAGAAGAGAGAAGAGGAGAAAAAAAAAGACAAATGAAGAAGAAAAACAAAAAGAGAAAAAAGAATATGAATGGATGGAGAGGACGAGCTCCAGCTGAAGCGTCCTACTCTGCCACCATCTTGTGGATCAAATAAAAAGGCCTAGCCTGGACAGTCTGTCTAATGCAGGGCCTAGAAGTTCTAATTTGGGGTTTGCAACCTACACGAGGTTTTTGTGAAGTGTCTCCACTCCTTTCTCCCAACCATGTTCCCACACAATGGTTCCATTCCCCCCACTGGGGTTGTGCACTGAAAATCAAGTTCTGCTTTTCCTGAAGTCATCACTGAAGTTAAAAATATTATCAAAATGCACAAAGTCTCAAACTTGCTTAATGGATAGAATCAGATTGACAGAAAACTCTGGCCAAGTTCCTATACTTAATAAAAATGAGTATTTGTTACAAATGAGTAAATTTTAATGACAAATAAACGGCTATAAACTACCAACATAAAGTTATACAGGTTAAAAACTCTCATCTTCCAAAATTCCCCTACATACACAAGCAAACAAAATAAAAATGAGTTTATTGGTCGTGGGAGAAAAACGGAACTACAGTTCAATAGTACCAGTTCACAGGGTTTGCTGAGATGATACTTTTGCTTTCCAGGACTTTCTACTCTTGAAGCCTTTTTCTGCAGGTGTTTTCCATTTCTTCACAGGAGGCACAGGTGATTAGTACACAAACTGTAAAGTCTCTTAGTTATTGGTAAAAGCCACAGCTTACAGCAACCAGTGGGAGAGAGTAACTGGCTCTCTTCAGAGTTCAGGTATGTTTATTGTGGACAGACAAGACTTCTCACTGCATCGTTTGCACGCACAAGTCATTCAGCTACCCAGAGATGGTATCATACTGACTTTTGACATCCACAACCCAGCCGATTCTCACTTTGCGTACACAATCTGCTGTCAGGCTGTCTCCTCTTACACCCTCCCCCACTGCTTACAAAGCAACAGTGTAAACACAATTTAGAGTGAGATTCAGTAAACTGCTTTTCACAAAAAAAAACATTTCCTTTCTCAGCCCTTTGTTGTAAAATCAATCTGTTCCCAATTCCGTCCACGATCAAAAATAAAGTAAAACAAAAAGATATAGCCTTTACGATCAGGTGCCAATCAAGTGAGCTGACTTCACCAGGGTATTGTTGAAGCAGCAATAATTCAGGCAACTGGACAGTATTCCACTACATTTCTGACTTGGGTCTTATTGATGGCGATCAGACTTTGGGGAAACTAAAGGCAAGCTATACTCCATGGAATTCCTACACTCTGACTTTCTCTTGTAGTCACGGAAGTTTGACTGGTCCAGTTCTGTTTCTGGCCAATGCTAAGCCCATGTGTCATAAGTGATGTTGCTGTACTGGAACAACTTGGTGAGGACGTGGCTACTTCTGGGTATAAGCCTTCAGCACTACTGCCGGAATGCTGTCAATGCCCATGCATTGTCTTTGCAGTATCAGCTATTTCTTGAAATCACATGGAGTGCTTATGTAATGTAATTAAGAGTCGTACAGCACGTAAACAGACCATTCAGTCCAACTTGTCCACGTGGACCAAGTTTCCCAAACTAAACTAGTCCCATTTGCTTGCATTTGGCCCATATCCTTCTACACCTTTCCTATTCATGCACCCTTCAAATGTTTTTTTTAAATGTAACTATACCTGCATCTACCACTTCCTCTAGCAGTTCATTCCTCACACAAACCAAATTGCTAACAGGACTGGATGGGAATCATCTGAGGATGCTGAAGGATGGTAGGATGAAAACTGAGAAAGTATCAGTCAATAGTCATCAAATTCCTGAGATAAGGAGTTATTATGAGTAAACTGCAGAATTACAAATCTTGACTGATCCCGGAACTACTGGCCAGACGCTTTAGCTTTGGTGATAGCAAATAATTTAAGAATGATAATCCTGGCTCAATTAACAAAGGAATGCTAAAATGAATTTGTTAAAAGAAAATTGTCTGATTAAGTGTTCAAGCCCAGGCATCTTCAGCTGCTTCATTAATGACTTTCCTCCGTCATAAGGTCAGAAGTGCTAATGTTCGCTGATGACTGCACAACATTCAGCACCGTTTGCGATTCTTCAGATATTAAGGTAGTCCATGTCCAAATGTAGCAAGACCCGCACGATATCCAGGCTTGGGCTGGCAAATGGCAAGTAACATTCATGCTGCGCAATTCTCCAACAAAACAGAATGTAACCATCTCTCCTTGACATTCAATGGCATCTACAAACATTCACTCCCTTCATCACCAACATACAGCAATAGCACTGTGTACCATCCACAAACTGCAGTGCAGAAGTTCAAGGCTCCCTAGACAGCACCTTACAAACTCATGCCCACCACCACTTAGAAGGACAAGGGCAACAGATACAAAAGAACAGCACCACTTGAAAATTTCCCTCCAAGCCACTCACTATCCTGATTTGGAAATATATTACCATTCCTTCACTGTTGCTGGGTCAAAATCCTGAAATCTCTGCCTAACAGCATTCGGTGTGTACATACACCAAATGGAGTGCAACGGTTCAAGAAGGCAGCTCACCACTGGCTTCTCAAGGGGAACTAGGGATGGACACTAAATGTTCGTTTAGCCAATGAAGCTAACATTCCCTGAATGACCAGAAAAGAGAGGTTTGATGAGGGTAATGTAGTTGTGTAATATATGTGGAATTTCAAGTGTTTGATAAAATACCTCACAATTAGGCTTGTCAACAAAGCTGAAGCCTTCACACTTTTGTAGGTACATCCACTGTGCTGTTTGGGAAGGATGTCCTGGATTTTGATCCAGTCACAATGAATAAATGGCAATGTACATCCACCTGTGAATATTGGTCAGGCATCAGCTGATTCAGGAATGGACCATTTCGTAATTTGAAATGATTGAGAGTGGAAGTGAATATTGTATAATCACAGATATCCCCACTTCTAACCTTATGACGTGGAGAAGGACAACTAAAAATGGACAAAAAAATGCTGTCTTAACCATCAACATCTGAATACTTGCAATTTTAATCTCAGACAACAAATACTGAATGTAAACTAGGAATGGTATGGTAAATGATAAAACAGATTATCAAGAGTTAAGAAATGGGCAGAAACAACTGAGAAAGGAGAATAAGTTTGAAATAGAATATAAATTCATCCATGAAGGAACAAAACAATATACAGATCCCAAATATGTACACATTGGTACTATAAGCAAATCACCACTTCCCATTGTCCGAGCTTTCTTTCGTTATTATGAGATGTGGGCATCACTTCCCAGGGCAACAGCCCATCCTTGTTGCCATTTAACAGACTGGCTTGCTTGGTCACGTCTGAAGGCAATTAAGAGGCAAAATATATTAGATTATTATTATTAAAACAATGCTGCTGTTGGTCAAAAAATCACAGATAGGCCAATCCAGATAAGGATAGCAGATTGCCTTCCCTAAAGGAAATTAGCCAACCAGATGGAATTTTACAACTATCAGTAGAGGTTCCAATGGTCACCATTGCTGACATTAAATTCAATTAATAAATCTGAAACTGGAAGTTAAGTTTCACCACCTATCATGGTGGGATTTAAACTCTTGCCCCCGGTGCATTAGCCATGGCTTCCGAATTCCAGTCCAGTGACATCAGTACCACCACATAATCTCCATCATGTTTGTGATATGAACCTGCATTTGGTTGAGATAGTTATAATTTTTAAACAACATGGCATACATAATACCCTGGAGTGGAGAATTAGCAAGTGTACCACTTCATTACACACGGGGTATAACTAAAACAAACTAGTATCATAGTAGTTCATAGTAAAACCCATACAATTGTATATAAACAGAACACAGCTTTCGTGTGAGAATGGAGTATACCCTGGAAAACCTCTTCTCTGGAGAGAACCCTACTGTTTCATGTTGGTCTTCCACTCCTGAAATTGGCACGAAGTCACATTGCTGCCACATTACAGCAAAGTCTCTGTATTGTACTCAACTGCCAGTATATCTGATCCGAGTGCAGTTAATATCTGATACCGGAAACAACAGAAGATACTAATAGGGCATCTGCACTCCTGCACCAACACAATGGAAAGATTTGGTTAAAATAACAGAAGTGACAATAAGAATATAACAATAAAAATAGAAAATCCTGGAGAAATTCAGGAGGTCTGTCAGGATCTGCAGACAGAAAACAGAGTTAATGTTTCGAGTCTAATATAATTTTCAGTTCTTCGGTTGAGAGTTCTGAAGAGGAGTCATAATGGACTTGAAATGTCAACTTGGTTTCTCCCTCCACAGATATTACTGAATGTTAAGTTTTTTTCCAGTATTTTTGTTTTTATTTCAGATTTCCAACATGCACTGCATTCTGCTTTTAAGAAAAGCTTCGACTTAATACAGACAAGATAGAGAGTTTTGATATTGAGTTCTCTCTTAAGAGCCATGCAAAGGGAAATGCATTTTAGCACTAATGTTAAATAATGGGATGATGCCAATAGAAATAATCTATGGTGTTCGAATATACACGAACTTCAATTATTTATTATAGGAGTGCATTGAGCTGTTAAACATTGTGCTTTTAATTTTAATTTCCAGGGTCTATAATAATGTTTATTCTACTGCAGCAACACTTATTAAAATGTGAAAACTTTCTAAGATGTCAGTGCAAAAGACAAGACTGAAATGTTTGCAATCATCCATGATGCACCTCAGCCTCCTCACCAGGACCTCACCACCACAAATGGCAGACTGCAGTCAATTTGATTGACTCCATGAGAGCAGATGAGCACACTGGAAAGATGGATCCTAACAACATCCTGGCTATATTGCTGAAGACTTGTGCGGCAGGACGACATGCACTCCTAGCCAACCTGTTCCAGTACAATTAGAAAATTGGCATCCACCTGACAATGTGGAAATTAGTCCAAGTACATCCTATCTAAAAATGAGTAATCAAACAAAGCAAGGAATCTGGCTAATTAACACTCCATTAGTTGACTTTCAATCATTGGCAAAATAGTTGAAGGTCTCACTGACAGTACTATTAAGCAATATTGACTTAGCAGTAACCTGTTCACTGCAGCTTAGTTTTGGAATTGCTAGAAACACAGCCCCAAAAACCCATTCAGTCTTGTTCCAAACATGGATCAAAGAGCTCAATTCAATAGGCAAGTTGAGGCCAAGTCACTATTTGAACATATATGGCAACAATGAACCCCAGTAAAACAGTAGTCAATGGGAATAAGTGGGGAAATCTCCAGTGGATAATCATGTCCATCACAAAGAGATGATGGTGGGGCTAATAGTAGGCAATTATCTTAGCGTTAGGAAACTGCTGCAGGGGGGTCCTCAGGACAGTGTCCCGAGCCCATCTACGGCTGCTTCATCAATGACATTCCTTCTATTATTGTGTCAGCAGTGAGGATGTTCACTGATTATTGCACAGTTTAATTCCACTTGCAACACCTTTAATAAAAAAGTATTTTATGCTTGCATGCAGCACAGCCTGGATAACATTTTAGTTCAGGTTGACAAAGAATCAGTAACATTTGCATCTGTATAAGTGATAGGCAATGACCATCTCCAGTAAGACGAAAATCTAACCCCTCTTGATAATCAATGACATTACCATCACTAGAATTTGCACCATCAACATCTTTGGATGTTATCGCTGACAGCAAACATGACTGGAGCAGCCACATGAAGGTCAGAGGAGGGGAATTCTGCAGTAATTAACTCAATTCCAGACTCCATAAAGCATCTCCACCATTTCAAAGACACAAATTAAGAGTGTGAAGGAACATTCCACTCATTTGGGATAAGCATAGATCCAAAACATTTAAGACGGTCAATATCATTCCCAAGACATAGCAGCCCACTTCGTTCGTAACCAAATCACTACCTTCGTCATTCATTTCCACCACCACAAGTTTACTGTGGCTGCAATGCATTTAATCTACACTGATAGTGCAACAACTGGCTAACTTATCTCCCAGACATGTAACCCCTACTATCAGGGTAGATGAGAACATCGTCACCTCGAAGTTCATTTCCAAGTCACACACCATTCTGATCTGGAAATATATCATCATTCCTTAACTAGTGCAGCAACAAAATCCTGGAACTCCATTCCTAGCACTATGGATGCACCCATACCTCACAGAATGTAGTGCTTCAATGTGGTGGCATTGCAAGGGAAATTAAGAGTGGACAATAAATACAAGTTCATCTAACAACATTCACATCCATGAATGAGTAAAAATTAGACTAGGTAGAATGATGTGGTTCTCAGTCAGTTTAATCATTCTTTTCAGCCCCAACAAGATCAATGCCCACAAAGACTCTTACCAATTTTTATACATGCACCATAGAAAGAATCCTATCTGAATGCATCACAGCATGGTTACGGCAAATGCTCTTTCCAACACTGCAGACAACTGCAAGGAGTTGCAACCACAGCCCAGTCCATCATGCAAACCAGCCTTCAATCCACTGACTCCATCTATACTTCCCATTGCCTCAGGAAAGCAATCAACATAATTGGCAGAAGACATAAAAGTTTGAATACGCAATGAACAGATTCAAAAACAGCTTCTTTCCCACTGCTATCAGACTTCTGAATGGGCTTCTCAAATGGTAATGTTGATATCTCTCTCTGCGGCTCTAACACTGTATTATGCACTCTATTCTGCTACAATCTGCCTGCAGAGCATGCAAAGCACCATTTTTCACTGTATCTCAGTACATGCGACAACAATAAATCAAATCAAATCATCTCTACACAGACACATGGCCGCATTACTGCCATTTCAAGGTTTAAAACATGATAACACTTAGGGAAGTGTTCCATCCTAAATTAATTGCACCATGCATTCTAATATTAAAAAACACTTACCTGGTAAAGGTCAGATAAGCTGCTGCTGCCAGAGTCACTGGTGATGCTACATCCTGACTGGCTGGAGGAGACGTGAGTCACCTGTGGATGGAGGTTATCTGTGAGATGTAACTTGGTGAAATCTGCAGGAAGCTGTACATGAGGCAAGGATAAAGAAATAAAGAAATGAGAGACAAAAACTGTATTTTTTTTACAATATTATTATGCTAGTTGCACCATAATTGCACACAACACAATTCTAAATTTTACATACATTTAGAAGTGTTAAAAAGTTTAGCTAAAAATTCAAATGTGATGCAAGCTTCAATATCTTAACAAAACTGAAATTTTACTCCTGATATTAAACTTAGCAACGAGACAGCACAACCTTTTCCTTCTTTCACCCAAAATGAACAAAACTAAATTCTCTAAAGGAGACCTGGAATGCACCAACTAAAACAGAAAAATTCAGTCCACTATCAGTTGTATCGCAGTACAATTCATCTATCTATCAAAACTGTTTCCTTGCGGATTCAGCAAGGATAGTCAACAATGTTCAAGTAATCTGGGAAAATTGTCAGAGTTACTACAGCACCGACAATGCCATCAGCCCATTCAGTCTATGCAAACTCTGCTTATCTGCATAATCCTACAAACTTAATCCCTTCAATTTTTTTATTCATTCATGGGATGAGGGCATTGTTGACTAGGCCAGCATTTAATGCCCATCCCTAAATGCCTAGATAAGAGTCAACCACATTGGTGTGGGTCTGGAGTCAGATGTAAGCCAGACCAGGCAGTTTCCTTCCCTAAAGGACAATAGTGAATCAGATGTATTTTTCTGATAATCAACAATGGATTCAAAGTCATCATTAGACTCCAGATTAATTCCAATCACACCATCAGCTATGGCAGGATTTGAACCTAGGGTTCCCAGAATGTTACCTGGGTCTCTGGATTAGCAGTCCAGTGATAATAACACTAGGCCAATGCCTCCCATGAATGTCCAGCTAACATCCTTTTGAAATAATTAATTGGATTCAGCCCATCATTCTTGTGGGCACAGGTTCCAGGACATTGCAACTCGATGCATAAATAAGTTCCCCCTCACATCCTTCTACATCTTGCGCAAAATCTTAAAAGTGTCCCTCCTAATTTTATACCATCAAGTAATGGAATAGTCTATCATATCCGAACTTGGCTAAATTTTATGTAGCTCTATCAAATCTCCCTCATCACCTTCCCTTCCAAGACAACCAAAACCAGCTTTGCCAGTTTGAAACTGCAACCAAATCCCTCATTGCAGGAACCATTTTAGCAATTATATTCTGCAACCTCTGAACAAATTTTCACAACTTTTCTAAAATGCAGTAACCGGTATTGAAATCAATCACTAGTTGTGGACTTTATAAAGGTTTAACAAAGCTTTCTTGTTTTTGTATTCTCAGTACTTCTAATAATGAAGTCCAAGTCTCATATGCTTTTCTAATTACTCTTGCAATAAATCCTATCACTTGCAAGGATGCATGTACGTGGGTCCCAATCTCCCAGTGGCCCTTCACACTCTTGAGGACCATGCATCACCTCACACTTCTCATCATTAAATTCTATTTGCCACTTGTCTGCTCATTCTGCTGGTCTAATGTCCTGTTGCAATCAATTGGTATCATCTACACAAACTTTTATGTCAAGGCACCTGACCTTGCATCAACCATGCCTCTTACTCATATAGGGCCATTTCCATGGTTTCAGCACCAAACTGTGTTCCCTGAAGTAAACTGTCTCTCTTGCATAAAGGAGTTGTGTCCGGCATTGGCATTCCTGATGCCGTTTCACCCTCCTACCCAGGTCCAGGAAGATCAGATTTAACCCAGTGTGCAGTCTTCTTCCCATTAGCAATGCTGCTGGAGCTACCCCTGTAATTGCATGAGGGGTGGCCCAAAAATCAAATAGGAATGGGGACAACTTGGTATCAAAATGAAGCTGTGGGTAGTTTCTTTAAGCCTGCCTTCAAAGTTTGGACTGCTCTTTTCACCAGACCTTTGGACGATGGATGGTACGGAGCTGTCCTCATATGCTGAGTGCCATTTGACTTTAGGAATACTCGAATTCTCTGGTAAATGATGTCCCGTTATCTGTGACCAACACTTCTGGAAGCCCATGTATTGCAAAAGATGCTTGCAGCTTTTCTATTATCATCACCGTGTTTGACAAATGAACTCTATGCATGTCCAAACATTTTGAGTTGGCATCCACAATGACTATGAATGTTGAGCCCATGAACCAAATCCAGAGTTTACCTGGATATTCCCACGAATGATGGGGAGCTGGGTGGTAAATTTTGTCCTTGTTGGTACTCTGGGCACTGCCCCACCAACACGGCTATGTCTGCATTCAATCTTGGCCACCAGGCGTAACTTCTCACCAACATCGTCATTTTGGTCTCCTCTGGCGAAGCCTGATGGAGTTCAGCCAGTTTCTGGCTGTGGCCTTTGCTCAGGACAATCACTTTTGCTCAACCAATTTCGTGGGCCCGAGTCTTTTACTACAGTCAGTGGTAACTGAACCAGCTGCTTCTCATACGAAACCGGATCTGAAGTTGTACTCTTAATCTGTGTAGGTTCCCCACTACAAGTTCTCAGTCGAGCCGAGGTCTTACGCAAACTTAAGGGTTGGAGTCCAGAGCAAATTTGTTAAAAACTGGTTCTGCTCTCTTCACTGATGTCAGCCGCGTCAGCATCAACCTGCATTGGAATGAGGTGATCACTAAACCAGATGTTTATTTTGATTGGTTCCAATTTGGATGTTGCTAGGCAATTTCGCTATACTGAACCAGACGCATGTGGGCTTTCCAGAGTGTGAACTCTCCTGGATACCAGCTTATGAGTGATCTTACTCAATGTAGGAACACACAGTCATAAAGTTGTACAGCACAGAAACAGACCCTTTGTTCCAACTCGTCCGCGCTGACCAGATATTCTAATCTAGTCCTGTTTCCCAGCATTTGGCCCACATTATTCCTTCCTATTCATATACTCATCCAGATGCCATTTATTTGTTGTTTTTGTACCAGCCTCGACTACTTGCTCTGGCAGCTCATTGCATTCCCAGACCACCCTCTGCGAGAAAATGTTGACCCTTAGATTCCTTTTATATCTTTCCCCTCTCACCTTAAACTTATGCCCTCTAGTTTTGGACTCCACAACCCTGGGAAAAAAATCTTGGCTGTTCACCCTATCCAGGCCCCTAATGATTTTATAAACCTCTATAAGGTCACCCCTCAGCCTCTGACACTCCAGGGAAAACAGCCCCAGCCTATTCAGCCTCTCCCTATAGTTCAAACACTCCAGCCCTGGCTACATCCTTGTAAATCTTTTCTGAACTCGTTCAAGTTTCACAACATCTTTCCTATAGCAGGGAGACCAGAACTGAATGCAGTATTCCAAAATGGCCTAAACAATACATCCACAACATGACAACCCAACTTCTATACTTAATACACTGACCAATTAAAGCAAGCACACCAAACACCTTCTTCACTACTCTGTCTACTGTGACTCCACTTTCAAGGAACTATGAACCTGCACTCCAAGGTCTCTTTGCTCAGCAACACACCCCAGGACCCTACCATTAAGTCCTGCCTTGCTATGCTTTACCAAAATGCAACACCTCACATTTATCTAAATTAAGCTCCATCTGCCATTCCTTGGCCCATCTAATCAAGATCCTGTTGTACTCTGAGGTAACTTTCTTCACTGTCTAATACACCACCTATTTTGGTGTCATCTATAAACTTACTAATCATTTATGTTCACACCCAAATAATTTATAGAAATGACAAAAAACAGCACCGATTCTTGCAGCACACCACTGGTCACAGGCCTCCAGTCCAAAACACAACCCTCTACTTCCACCCTCTGTCTCTTATCTTCAAGCTAATTTTGTATCCGTATGGCTAAATCTCCTTGGATTCTATGTCACCTAACCTAACTAACCAGTCTACCAAGCGGAACCTCATCAAACACCTTGCTGAAATCCATATCGACAACATTCACCGTTCTGCTTTCATCAATCTTCTTTGTCGCTTCTTCAAAAAACTTAATCAAGTTTCTAAGACATGATTTCCCATACACAAAGACATGCTGTCTATGCCTAATCAGTCCTTGCCTTCCAAATACATGTGAGGTAAATGTGACATGCTGTATTTTGGTAGGGCAAATCAGGCAGAACTTATACACTTAATGGTCAGGTCCTGGGGACTGCTGCCAGACAATAGGTGTGCAGTGTCATAGCTCCTTGAAAGTGGAGTTGCAGGTAGGCAGGGTAGTGAAGAAGGTATTTGATCCACTTACCTTAATTGGTCAATGCATTGAGTATAGGAGTTAGGAGGTCATGTTGTGGCTGTACAGGACATTGGTTAGACTACTTTTAGAATACTGTGTTCAATTCTGGTATCCCTGCTATAGAAAAGGCGTTGTAAAACTTGAAAGGGTTCAGAAAAGATTTACAAGCATGTTGCGAGGGCTAGAAGTTTTGAGCTATAAGGAGAGGCTGAATAGGCTGGGGCTACTTCCCTGGATTCTCAGAAATTGAGGGGTGACCTTATACAGGTTTATTAAATCATGAGGGGTATGGATAAGGTGAATAGCCAAAGTCTTTTCACAGGGTTGAGGTGTCTAAAACTAGAGTGCATAGGTTTAAGGTGAGAGGGAAAATATTTAAAAGGGACCAAAAGGGGCCAAAACAACACTCAATCACAATCCGTGTACCTAAAACTTTGGTAGGTTTAAGTCACTTGCAATTTCAACATTTAGACTGGAACTGCAGATAGCTCTGGGCAGAAGCTATCACATACTTGCTTAAACGTACTCGTCAGGGTTTAATCTCAACATTTCTTCCTGGGGGTCTAAAGCTTCTTCCTGGGCATCTAACACTTCTTCCTGGGGTCTAACAGAAACAGCCCACTCTAAGATAATCTTGTTCACAATATAACCTTTTCTTCTCTGGAGCACGGATCAGTACAGCCATGCTTTCCAAGGAATTCATAGGACTGCTCCACACAAAGTAAAAACTGAAACTCCAAAAGTCTCCCTTTCTAAGCTATGGATATTTCCCTTAAACATTGAAAAATAAGCTCCGTAAGTCTCTAACAAATCTTGAGCCCCCATTATTTACCGTAATGGGTCACAAAAACAACATAAAATAAACAAGCGACCATCAGTGACTCAAAACCATTTTAAAAGAAATCAACATGGCTCCAGAAATGCATACAACTTAGTTATTAATTTCGGGCACAGAGAGTCCACCAGTC